CCAGGCAGGGGATCAGACTAAATAATCTTTTGAGGTCCCTTCCAACCCTAGCATCTATGAATCTATGTTACTATATGCCTTTTAGGCAGTTCCTTACAATTCTTTTACTAATCCTATTTCTCCATTTTAACAAATTCTTATGTGGCACCATATCAAATACTTCCATGAGGTCCAGTTAGATAAGATCTCCTGCATTTTCTTTGCCTGGAAAATCAATCATCTTATCAAGAAATATATCAAATTAATCTGGCACAATCTGCTTTTGGAGGAAAAATATATAATGATATCAACAAGCATCAGAATTTCAGTAAACCTCTAGAGAATAAAGGATCATCCTCAGCTTACCTTGATGCCTAGGTTAATTTAATCAGCAGAGTTTCTGGTCCTAAGAATTCAGTTACCTACATGTGTCCAATGTTCCAGCTATGTACAGATGACATGTGAGTATATCCACCTAGAAGGAAGTCTACATGCAGGATAGTCTAGTAAGTAAGTTGTCTCTGTATAGGGGAACTCATCAAGTCACTCAGCTCATGATAACTCCATCATCTTTTTGCCTCAGGTTACAGTAGGAAGCCCTTATTCAGAAAGAAAGAAATGGCAATGCAGTGCATGCCCCGCACTCATGCCCCAGACAACCAGGCAGTATACATGTGCGCTGCTGCACTGTTTTTTACTCAGCAACAGGAAAGTACTTGTATTTATGGTGTGGAGTAAATTAGTTTACTCCAGCCTAGTAGGAGCGCATGTGTAGATGGCGAGACATTTACTGCACAGTTAATTAGTCTCATGTAGATGTGCCTAGCAAAAGGTACAGTGAAATTCCTCAGTGCTCCTCTTCCCTTCCATGGAATAGGACTTCTAGTTTTATAGTTTTATGCATAGTAATTATAATAACTGCAAATATGTGCTCAACCTCAAATAGAGCATCTCTCTGCTATAATTTTAAACATCAACTGGATTTCAAGTTGCCAGTGTCCGTGTAGCAGCATAAAGCAAACAGCACCCTCTGCTGCCCACCCTGATGTTCTCAACTACACAGCTGAATCCACAACATTTAAGTGCCTCACAACACAATAGCTGAGGATTTCATAGTGTGATGGCCAGAACCAAAGAAATTAATAAGCAATAAATATGTGCTTCTTGGAGGCATTTGGCACTTTTATCTAATATGAAGCTTGTATTTTTGTAACCCGTAAATGTAACTTGTAACTGTGTGTGGGACTGACTAGGCCTCAAAGACAAAGCTCTAGCTGTGAAATTAGCTGACCTAATAGTTCTTCCTTGCTCAGAATTTAGCCTTGATGATGCTAAAAACTGGATTCAACTGCCTAGCTTGTCCTTTCTTGAAATGTACTGGATATCTCAAAAAAGCATAGTCAGAGAGTTTGGAAGGGGCTGGATTTAGGCGGGGTGATGTTAATGTCAAACCCGAAGATGCTGTGTTGCAATTTGCTTATTGGATAAACCCAAGCTTGGGCAGTAACTTATTATAATAATTTCTAACACCTTTTAACCACATAGGATAACAGCTATAAAGCAATATTATAAATGGCTACATAACTAAAAAATTAGCATAAGTAAAATATAAAAGAACACACACGTCATAGTAACCCTGGGGAAGAAGGGAACAGAAGGGTCATTGCTGTCCCGTACCCCACGGATCTCTCTCACTCCCTGTGAGAGCAAGGACCAGATCCTGACTGAGGGGCTTCCACCGGTATCCTTCGGGCAGCCCAATTCAGAGACGCCAGACTTCGCCGAT